CACACCATGACAACAGCTATGTGCCAGGCACTACTTCCATGCTAACGATCGTAGTACTGAGTCAGACCATTGAGAACGTCACTTCTCTGAAGCTCCTTTGACATAGGACTGACTTGTCTTCTCTCTCCATGCATTCAACAAGAAGACCTCTATTTCTGTTCTGTCAGAAACAGCCAAACATCTAAACCTTTCTTTGCAACACAGCCTTCTTAGTCTTATTAATAGAACTGTTTCAATCCAATTCCAATAGGATTTTTTTTTCCAAGTAAAAGCAACAGCTGAGATTTGAAAATACTACCCAAACACTCTAGCGTAGTGGTTACGAATCGGGCTGCGAACCTTAGGGTCAGCGGTTCGAAACTACCAGCCGCTCCGAGGGAGAAAGATGAGGCTTTCTGCTCCCGTAAAAGATTTACAGCCTCGGAAGCCCTGTACAGGGTCGCTATGGGTCGGACCCGACTTGATGGCACTTAACAACAACAACAACAACCCAAACACTCTGTAAACTAAAATAAATTCTTCTTCTTCCTTTTTTGTAGCAGTCGAGGCTCTGACAGTTCAGACTCCAATGACTCCCAGTCTTACCTTCTCAAGTTAACACCTCAGGTATGGTTAACTCTTTCTGCTATAATTGATATCCTCTTCTGTAGCGTGGATTCCAACTCATAGAGACCCTCAAGGACAGAGAAGAACTACCCCTGTGGGGTTTCTGAGAAAATAAATCTTCATAGGAGCAAACAACCTCACATTTCTCCTGCAGAACAGCTGGTGGGTTCGAATCACCAACCTTTCAGTTAGCAGCTCAACGTGAAGCCCATTGGCCACCAGGCTCCTCCTTGCTTTTGGTATATAGATATTCTAAACAGGTACTTTTCTTATTGTAACTAACAATCAAACAAACAAACAAAAAAAAAACCAGTCTGCAATTGTATATTTATTGTATACGTAATTGTATACATATTAAACTATAATCATTTATTTTGTCAATTACTACTGACATAATATCAGCATTATTATGATAGGGCTTACAGTTTAGGTTTTCTACTCCCTATACAGGGTCCCTAAAAGGAGCTCTGGTAGCGTAGGTTACAAATTGGACTGCAAACCAGAAAGTCAGCAGTTCGAAACTACCAGCTGTTCCACGGGAGAAAGATAAGGCTTTCTGCTCCCGTAAAGATTTACAACCTCAGAAACCCTGTACAGGGTCTCTGTGAGTTGGAACCGACTCAACAGCACATAACAACAACATACAGGGTCGCTATGAGTCAGAACTGACTTGATGGCACTTAACAACAACAATGAGTTAGAACAGATTTGACTGGACACAACGAATACCAACATAGATATTGACAACATTTATTTAACAACTATAATTATTATTTTCTGATCATGTTCCATGTCTCTCATCATAGAATTTTCTAACCTTTAGGTTTGTTTTTTAGAAGTAATTTTATTATTGTTGTTGTTGGGAATATTATACAGCAGAGCATATACCAATGCAACAATTGCTACATGTACAATTCAGGGACATTAATTACTTTGAATTGTGCATCCCTTCTCAACCTTCTTTTTCAAAGTGTTCTTCCCCTATAAATATAAACTCACTGCTCCCCCTAAATTTCTTAGCTAATCTTTCAAATTGTCATTGTTGATTTAATCCCATACAGATGGCTCTAACATAACACAATACTCAAAGTGGGGCATCTTTAGTAATGAAGCTAAATTCTTGTTTGGCTTAAAGGAATCTTCAGGAGATGCTTTTGGTTTTGTTTCAAGATTATCTCAGGGCAACAGTTTCAGAGGCTGGTCCAACCTCAGTGACTCCAGATAATCTGGAAAATTCCATAAGAATTTGAAATTCTGTTCTGTTTTACCCCTTTTGACCAGATTCTTCTATAGACTCTTTGACCCAAATATTCAGTAAAGGTAGTCGGGCACTACTCGGTTCTGCTAGTCTCTTGGCACAGGAGGTGGCTGTTCATGGAGGCAATCCATCACACATTCCATTTCCTTTTCCTATTCTCAACTCACCTTCTTCCTTTGCTGCTCCAGACAGATAGAGACACTTGTTCAGCTCCTAGTATCTGTTCCATGGCACCGTAATAATGGCCAAGCTCTTAACACACAATATTGTGTTGGTAGTGTATTGGTATGTAGCAAAATTACTCCAAGCAGTAGCAACTTAAAGTCACAAATACTTAGTCCCTCACAGTTGATGTGGGTCCGTCTTCTGGCCATTCCTTAGCAGGATGCTTCTAACTCAAGATTTCTCTCAAGGCTGCAATGAAGATATTGACCCAGGCTGTGCATTCCTCTACAGACCGGATTAAGGAAGGATCCACTTCCAGGCTCACTCAGATGATTACTCACAAGATTCATTTCCTCACAGACTGCTAGGCTAATGGTCTTAGGTCCTCACTGGCTGTTGGCCATAGACCTTCCTCACTTCTGGCTGTACTAATTCACTAACAGATTGTTGCTTCTTCTGTCATTCCAGAGTATATTCAATATTCTTTGACAACACAAGAATTCAAATGCATTGATTATTCATTGTGCAACTTTCGAATGCATATGAGGCTTGGGTCAGGTGCACCTGAGTCCTCAAAGTAGTATCTTTGCTCTTGAACTCTTTCAAGAGGTCTTTAGCAGCAGATTTGCTTAAGGCAATAATGGCTAATGTTGGTTCCATTAGTGTTGATTGAGGAGCCAAGTACAATGAAGTTTTAACAATTTCTATCTTTCCTTTGTTTATCATGGTTTAAAGAAAATTTCATTTTCTTTACTTTGAGATGCAATCCATACTGAAGACTGTAGATATTGCTCTTCATCAGTAAATATTTCATGGCGTGTTTACTTCCAGCAAGAAAGTCTGTGTCATCTGCATATCGCAAATTGTTACCGAGTCAGCCTCTAATCCTGATGCCACATTCTTCTTTATATAATCCATCTTCTCAGATTATTTGCTCAGTATGCACATTGAATAAATTTGGTGAGTGGATACAACCCTGATGCACACCTTTCCTGATTTTAAACCATTCGAAATCCCTTTGTTCTGTTTGAACTACTGCCTCTTAGTCGATGTCCAAAAAATAAAAACTGTGAATGAGACAAAAAGAAAACCAGGGGACTTCATCAGTGTCATTTCTGTGGTCCTAAAGGAGCTCTGGTAGCTAGTGGTTACAAATCAGGCTGTGAACCTGAAGGACAGCAGTTCGAAACTACCAGCGGTTCCACAGGAGAAAGATGAGGCTTTCTGCTCCTGTTAAGATTTACAGCCTCGGAAACCCTATACAGGGTCGCTATGAGTCAGAACTGACTCCATGGCACATAACAACAACAACAAAGTCTCTAGCCAGCCTTCTTCTCTCCACCTCTCAAAGTCTCTTCTATTTGTCCAGGATTTTCAGTTGTGTTTAGAAGGAAGAATGGGGGAAATAACTGTAGCTTCTGTTTAAACAAAAATCATGCCAACCAAAGATGAATGGGGAGTTGTATTAATTTCCTAAGGTGATTGTAATGAGTTACGCCAGCTGGATTTGAACTGCTGACCCTGTGGCTAGCTATCCAGTGCCTATCCTACAGAACCACACCAGGACCCAACATTTTGACTTGTTGTGGTTGTGAAGTGCTGTTAAGTAGCTTCTGACTCATAGCAATACTATATAGGGTTTCCAAGTAGCAGATGGTGGGTTTAAACTACCACTATTGTAGTTAGCAATCCAGCAATTATCCAACTGTGTCACATCATTGTTGTTGTTAAGTGCCGTCAAGTCGGTTCCGACCCATAGCGACCCTTTACAGGGTTTCCGAGGAGCGACTGGTGAGCTTGAACCTCTGTGCTTGCAGTTCAAACGGCTTTGCAGTCTGGCACATTAACCCACAGCACCACACCAGGACTCCCACACCAGGCCTAGAGAGTCAAAAATGTTCTGAAGATGAGAGAACCTGGGAAGATTCTTACATGGCATGTTATCAACATTGACAAGGAAATGGAGCCAGGACAGTATTTTCTTAACAATTTACCCTAAAGCCCAGTTTCTAGTCAAAGTGTGGTGCTGTACAGTGTTGCTATGAGTCGGAACTGACTCGATGGCACTTAACAACACTCTGACCTGAGAGTTTCTGCTTCTCAAAACTGACTGCTCATAAAGAATCTTCAAAGGAACCTAATGCCCAGGCCCCAGACTGAAGTGTGACTTAAAGGTCACTTTAAAAATCTAGCTTCCTGAAGGTTAAAGCTTCCAAGGTCATCCCTGAGATAGCTTGGAAAAGTCACCCTAAGCTCCACGGAGTCTGGAAATCTGCATTCCAGGAGAGTTCAATCCCACTCTTCACTTCCTAGATGCAGAAATCTGAAGACAATTTTACGTGCAGATATTGTTTGGATGTTTTGATTTAATAATGATTTCAGATCTGGCTCTTTTTATCCAGGTAAAACCCAAAATATATCTAAAAACAAAGAAGGAAAGGAATTCTACTATAGCAAGTCATAAAAATGCCAGAGAACAAGAGGTAAATTTCATTCATTATTGTTGATGGTTATTGAATAAGTGATTACAAAGGACGGTAAGTTATTTCCTCTTACACTGTACCTTATTCTTCCCCCCAGAAAGAGTTCATGGTTAAACTTGTGTTCATCTTATTTATAGTTCATCTTATAAAACTACAAGAGAACTTTGAGGTCAGCTCCTAAAATGGGAGTGTCAGGCAGAGAGAAGAGTCCCACCCCCAGTTTAGGAGCCCTGAGTCAGAGATTTTGTTTCAAGATGGAGAGCGAGCAGGCCATAAAACAGATAGCTCCTAATCTCTTCCCAAAGAAAATGACCTTGTTTGTAACAGAATGTGGAGAGTTCAAACCCAAGGTTACTCTCAAAGACAGTAGCTGTTGTGATAAGAAACAATTGGGAGAAGATTGGTAGGTAGATTCATTGACACTACAGGCTAAGCTGTAGAAACAGAAAAGAGACATCTGGAAGGAGCCCATCTGAGGTCAGAACAAATCTCCAACACTAACCTCTTGAACAATCTTTTCAAGTGAGCATTCATTTGATTCAATTAGTCTATACACTAGATCAATCAGTGGTACTTGATAGTCACACTGGGTGTAGGTTAGTTTCCATCTCCACTGACAATGTCTGAGTGACCTAGTTTCTCCTCATCTTCAAAAACATTTGGTGTTATCACTTTTTTTTTATTTTTTTTCAGCCATTCTAATTGGTGTGTCATGTTATCTCAAGGTAGTTTTCAGTCCTGGTGTGGTGCTGTGGGTTAATGTACTAGACTGCAAGTTCCGTTTGAACCACAAGGTCAGCAGTTCAAACTCACCAGCTGCTTCTTGGAAACCCTATACAGGGTCGCTATGGGTCACACGCGACTCAACAGCACTTAACAACAACAACTAACCATGACTAAACATGTTGAACATCTTCTCATTTACTTATTTAACATTTATATATCTTCTTGGTGTCCAAATGTTGTTGTTGTTGTTGTTTAGTGGCCTCAAGTTGGTTCCAAATCATAGTGATCCTATATAGGGTTTCCCAGGAGTGGCCAGTGAGCTTAAATCGCTGACCTTACAGTTCAAACCAACCTTGCAGTCCAGCTAGCTCATTAACCCGCAGTGTCATACTAGGGTGTCCAAGTATGTTATATTATTTTTAACTGAAATAAGTGATATTTTGATCTGAGCAGAAAAAATATATTTTAACCTTTCCAGAAAAAACTTGCAACACCTATTTGTTCAATAAAGTATTTGTGTTTCACAACATTATTTTCCAGAACTGCATGCTGTTCTATTTAATGATCCCATAGCTTTTCAGAATCAACTCCAAAAGCCACGTCCATTGCCCGTGAGTTGATTCCAACTTATAGTGATCCTAAAGGAGCTCTGGTAGCGTAGTGGTTACGAATCGGGCTGCGAACCGGTAGGTCAGCAGTTCGAAACTACCAGCTGCTCCACGGGAGAAAGATGAGGCGATCTGCTCCCGTAAAGATTTACAGCCTCAGAAACCCTATTCAGGGTCGCTATGGGTCGAAACCGACTCGACGGCACTTAACAACAACAACACAACAGGAACCCTGGTAGCGTAGTGGGTTATGGATTAGTAGTTCAAGTCCACCAGGTGCTCTTATGGAGAAAGATGAGGCTTTCTGCTCCCATCAAGATTTACAGCCTCGGGAACCCTGTACAGAAACTGACTCCACAGCACACCACCAACAACCATGTTGTTGTTAAGTGCCATTGAGTTGGTTCCAACTCCTAGGGGACCACCCTGTAAAGGGTTTCCAAGGAGCAGCAGGTGGGTTTGAACCACCACCTTGTGGTTAGCAGTCAGTGCTTATCTTACAACACCACACCAGGACTCAATGTTTTTGTTGTTGTTAAGTGCCATCAAGTCAGTTCAGACTTGTAGCAACCCTGTAAGAGTTGCCAAAGAATGGCTGGTGGGTTTGAACTGCCTACCTTGTAGTTAGCAGTCCAGTGCTTACCCTACAGCACCACCATTAGGTTATTTTTCCTATTTCATTTTGTTTTGTTTAATGATCTCTCTGGTGCTTCTGAATTCTTCACCAAATTCCTTAGAGACCAAGTACACATCTAAGGGAAATGATTTCTGTTCACAGTTGCCCATTTTTCCATCCGTCAATGCAGGGAGACCCCAGAAACTTATGAAGGCGGGGGGGCGGGCAGAGGAAGTTGGCCAGAGCAGTGCAATATGTTATAAACATGAAATTCGCACTTACTAAGCTCACAGAAGGAAATCCTGGTGACACTATGGTTAAGCACTCAAATAATAACTGAAAGGTTGGTGGTTTGAACCTACCCAGTGGTGCCACAGGAGAACAGAGTCTTCACTCTCCTATTTAATAACATAATATTGTTTTCCTTCTGATGTGATGCTTCATTAGGTCTGCAGTAGACTCCAGTTACAGCAAAGACACAACGAATCAAATGCCCATTTGAAAGGTAAAGCTCTGCCTACATTGTCTAGTGAACATTGTTTATTAAACAAACATTTTGGGGGGCCTCGGATACAAGATTTTCACTGTGCTTGAGGCTAAAGATATTAAGAAATATGTCATGCTATTTCTGCTAAAGGGAAAAGAATCACATGAACTGACGCGGTGTTGTTCACAGTCTATGAATGTTCCCAAGGAGGCACCAAGGAAGGAGTGGCCACACACAACAGGGCTTCAAAACTTCCATTCTCTTTACATTCATTTTTTCATGAACTTTCTGAAGCTCCCTCTGTACATACAAGTGTTGGGGTGGTCCATGTATTTGAGGGATGTCTGTGATTCGAAAGGTTTTCTCCCAAAGACAGTGTATAAAGCTCTTATGGGTTTTTTTTTCCTTTTCATTTCACAAATCAGTACAGAATGAGCCCAGGAGCTATCGAGTTGAACCGACTCATAGCGACCCCATGTACAGCAGAATGAAACAATGTCCGATCCTGGGCCAACCTCACTACCGCCGCCACACTTGACGTCATCAATGATGCCACCTGGCCGATCCATCTCGTTGGGGGTCTTCCTCTTTATCTCTGACCCTCCATTTTACCCAGCATGACATCCTTCTCCAGCAACTGTTCCCTCCTGACAATATGTCCAAAGTATGAGAGAGGGAAGCTTAGCCATCCTGGCCTCCAAGGAGCACTCTGGCTGCACTTCTTCCAAAACAGATCTATTGGTTTCGAACAGAGCATGGGAACACTGAATGTTTTAAAATTGGGAAAGGTGTGCAACAAGGTTGTGTTCTTTCACCTGTATGCTGAGCAAATAATACGAGAAGCTGGATTCTATGAAGAAAAATGTGGCATCAGGATTGGAGGAAGACTCATTAACAATCTGTGATATGCAGATGATACAACCTTGCTTGCTGAAAGTGAAGAGGACTTGAAACATTTACTGATGAAAATCAAAGAGCACAGCCTTCGGTATGGATTGCATCTCAATGTCAAGAAAACAAAACTCCTCACCACTGGACCAATAAACAACATTCTTATCAATGGAGAAAAAATTGAAGTTGTCAAGGACTTCATTCTTCTTGGATCAACTATCAACACTCGCGGAAGCAGTAGTCAAGAGATCAGACGATGTATAGTTTCTCCTGAACCCTATTAAATCTAAAATTTCTCTGTAACTGTCTCTAGCATAGTGTGGTGCCAGAGGACAAGCAATGGACCACGAGGTCGGTTTGAACCGCAAGGTCATTGATTCAGACTCACCAGCGGCTCTTCAGAAACTCTATACAGGGTCGCTATGAGTCAGAACAAACTCAACAACACTTAACAGCAACAGCAACAAAGTATCATTCACATTTCGTTGAATGTTCGAGCACAGAGGAAACTTGAAAGTACCATCATCTCACCTTCTCGTTTGAACAGGATGACGAGACTTCATCTCTCTTACTTTGGACCTGTATGGAGGGACCAGTCCCTGGAGAAGGACATCATGCTTAGTCAAATAGAGGTTCAGTGAAAAAAAGAAAGACCTCCAACAAGATGGATTGGCACAGTGGCAAAAACAATGGGCTCAAAGAGCAGAGAACAGAACCCTACCCAGAGCAGCAGTGATGCCAGGGATAGAGGCAGAGATGATGACATGGGGAGATGGAGCGGCTGGGGACTTTGGACCTAGAGAGAGAGGGGGGCGGTGTGTGGATGACAGGGGGGCAGTCTTGTGGGGTATGCCCTTTGGTTGATCAATGATGCATAGAAGGGATGGTAACCATGGCAAAGAAAGTATATATGACGGGATCAATGTGAAGCTGATGTCCTCCCATGTAAACTATCACATAATTCACAATAAAGCATTCAAAAAAAAAAAAAAAAACACCAAAATAACCCAATAGGCTCAAATGTAACAATTGTGAGGATGACACAGGACCAGACAGTGTCTCCTTCTGCTGTGCAGAGGACCGCGATGAGTCAGAACCTAACATCAACAGCAAACACCTATGGGGTTATTTTCTTCCATTCTAGCTCACTGTCCTCAGTTGAGAACCTTTGAAAGACTGACTACAGTTTAAGCAAGATTTTATTTTTATCTACAATCTCTTGGCTAGTAATAAGCGACAGCAAGGTATCCCATCGTATTATTGAAGGTCAGTGTATGTGGCCACCCTCCATTAATAAACCTTTATTTTGTTTCCATTTTTTTCTATTGTATAAACAACAATGAAGAACTTTACAACTCTCTAGTTATGTGTTTTCTTAATGGTTTCTTTGAACAAAGTCCCAAAAAGGGAACTGCTGGCCCAGAGGGGCTGTGCAGTTAGTTGTAAGATATTGCTATAAAGACCCAAAACACAACAGAAATTCATCAGATTTGTGGTCTGCTTATATTCATGGTGACCTATTTCTACCTTTTTCAGAAGCATTTCTCATTTAGAAAAACATGAAGCCAAGGAATTCTTTTCATGCCTCTAATCATCTTTTACCATCTTCTCTAGATACAAAGGTACCAGAAGAGTATATATTTGTGTATTTCCCTAATCAAGACAATTCCCTAATCAAGGTTTGGGTGAGTAAAATAGGAAGCTACTAGTACGAGGTAACCACCTGCCATCGGAATGTGAACTGTAATATATGCATCTGATAAAAATGTGCATATAAGGAACTAGGAAATTCTCTTCCAATCAGATGACCCTGGAACAAAAATTTTGAAACTCAATTTTTTCTTTTCTGCTATGACTCTAGAAATGCTCAGTGTAAGCCAACAGAAATCCAGAAGTCCAAGGTGCACTGAAGGAATTGGCAAAGAGCAAGGCACCAGGAATTGATGGAATAAAAATAGAAATCTTTCAACAAAGTGAGGCGGCACAGGAGGCACTCACTCATCTCTGCCAAGAAATTTGAGAAACAAGTATCTGGCCAGCAATGGGAAGAGATCCGTATCTGTGCCCATTCCAAAGAGAGATGACCCAACAGAATACAGAAATCATCTGAAAATATTTTTAATATCACACGACAGTAAAGTTTTACTAAAGATAAGACAGAAATGTCTGCAACCATACATTGACAGAGAAATTCCAGAGGTTCAAGCTGGTTTCAGAAGAGGACATGGAATGAGGGATATCATTGCTGACGCCAGATGGATCTTGGCTGAAAGCAGAGAATACCAGAAAGATGTTTATCTGTGCTTTATTGACTACAAAAGGCCTTCAATTATGTGGGTCATGAAAAGCTATGGACAACATTGAGAATCTAAGTATGAGTATTATGGAACATTTAACTGTGCTCATGAGGAACCTGTACGTAGACCAAGGGGCAGTTGTTCGAACAGAACATGGGAACACTGAATGATTTCAAATTAGGAAAAGTGTACAACAGGGTTGTATTCTTTCACCATACTTATTCAACCTGTATGCTGAGCAAATAACCTGAGAAGCTTAGTTATATGAAGAAAAATGTGGCATCAGGATTGGAGGAAGACTCGTTAACAACCTGCGATATGCAGATGATACAACCTTGCTTGCTGAAAATGAACAGGACTTAAAACATTTACTGATGAAGATCAAAGACCATAGCCTTTGGTATGGATTGCATCTCAATGTAAAGAAAACTAAAATCCTCACCACTAGACCAATAAAAACATTTGTGTCAATGGAAAAAAGGTTGAAGTTGACAAAGACTTCATTCTTCTTGGATCAACTATCAACACTCATGGAAGCAGCAGCCAAGAAATAAAACGACGTATTGCATTAGGCAAATCTGCTGCACAAGATCTTTTTAAAGAACAAAACCTTTTATTGAGAGAAGAGATGTCAGTTTGAGGACTAAGGTACACCTGACCCAAGACATGGTATTTTCTTTTCTTTTTTTTTCAATGTTTTATTATGAATTATGTGATAGTTTACATGGGAGAACATTAGCTTTATTTACATTCATCCTATCGTATACCGTTTCATTGCCATGGTTAAAAATCCCCTCCATGCATCATCAACCAACCAAAGGGTATACACTACAAGCCTGCCCACCGGTCGTCAGCACACAGCCCCTCTCCCTTTCTGGGGCTAGAGTCCCCAGACGCTCCATCTCTCCATGTCATCGTCGATCTGCCTCCATCTCTGGTGTCTCTGTTTCTCTGGGTAGAGTCCCACACTTCGCTCTTCTCCCTTGATGGTCCCCGGGACCTCTGCTCCTACACTGCAAAGTTAACCAACCCCATCCTTTTGCTACAAGACATCTTACCTTTACATTTCCAACCCTCACAGTCATTCCTGATAACAGTTATTCACTATCATACCACAAGAGTCCTATCCCCATCTCCTTTCATCAGCCCCACCCAGACAGATTGGATGCTTCTCAGTGATTCTACCTTCCTCTGCACCCTCTGGATCTAGACTCCCTCTTGAAAGCTTGTAAGCCAGTCACTTCTTACCTTTGTAAACTCACCCCCCAATTTTGGGTAGCCCATCCCTATCTACCCTGTGTTTTGAGGGGGTGGGAATGATCCTCGCTGTAAAGATTTGTTTCCTCTTTTGAGCTACTGCATCCATAGGTGTAGGTCAAGTTCATCAAATTGTATCAGATTACTCTTTTTTTCCTCTCCTTTCTTCTTCTAGTTGAGTTCTGATCATCCAGCCATTGAAGCCAAGTCAAGTGAGTATTATCTGCAAGTGTGGGTGTTCTTATGCATATCCCCTCACTTCTTATCAGCTGGATGCTTCACTCTCTGCTCTAGTCCTCTGTGGCTATGTCACTCTCTCTGGGCCCAGGAGTCCCCAGATCTTGCCACACTGCTGGCCAACCAGGTCTCCACCTGGGTTTACAGGAGTCTATTGAATGTGGTAAGGCTTAGCTCACAGCTTCATTGCTGTTTTTTCCTCACTTCCCCTTGCTGGAGACCAATGTGGTCACCAGTCAGAGTGCGTGTCTGCTGGTGTATTCCCCTTGAGTGTTAATCTTAGAAGGGGGTTTGCCCTGAGGAGAACCGACCACTTGCCTTGATGTCTCCTGGGCGAGCAACTTGCTTGTTCTTATAGTAGTCAGTCAGACTGCCGTTACTGTTTTGTGTGTGTGTGTGTGTGTGTGTTTCCTGTAGGTCTTTCTTTCAAGAAGTATCTTCTAGCTGCTCCAGGCTGATTTGCTTGTCCTTTCAAGTGGAAATTTCCCACCTCAGAAGATTCTGGATGGGGTTCAGAATTCCACCTATGATCTTATGCAATGCAGAGGCTCCACAGGAAGCCTCCTTCACTGGGCAAGTTGTAGCCCATTTTAGGTATTCCAGTCAGTAGTAGTCCTGGTGTGGCACTGTGGGTTAATGCACCAGACTGCAAAGCCATTTGAACTGTAAGGTTGGTGGTTCAAGTTCATCAGCTACTCCTCAGAAACCCTATACAGGGTCGCTATGTGTTGGAACCAACTCAACGGCACGTAACAACAACAACAACAATCAGTTATAGGCAGAATACAGACTTACAAGCTTCCTATGGTGACATTTATGGCTATTCCTTTCTCTCTCTCTCAAGTGTCTATTTTACAATGGTATACAAGGAAAACCAAGATTCAAAAGACATCCAAGCATCTTAACATTATTTCCCCCCTTTTATCCATTCAAACCATGCCTCAGTCCCTGCATCCCAGAGCCCTAATGTTCCAAGGTTGTACATACATCATTATTTACCTCTGTCCCACTTAGCCCATGCAAACCTGCCTAACTGAGCTCCCATCTGCCTTGTTCTTCCATTCCCCTCCCCCTTCTTGTGTATTACCTCCCTCCCCAGCACCTAAACTATCCTTTAAGACATGGTATTTTCAATAACCTCATATACATGCAAAAGTTGGACAGTGAATAAGGAAAATCGTAGAAGAATTGATGCATTTGAGTTATGGTGTTTGAGGAGAATACTGAAAATACCATGGGCTGCCAAAAGAACCAACAGATCTGTGTTGGAAAAAGTGAAGCCAGAGTGCTCCTTGAAGGCCAGGATGGCCAGACTTCTTCACTCATACTTTGGGCATATTGTCAGGAGGGACCAGTCACTGGAGAAGGATATCATGTTTGGTGAGGTGGACGGTCAGAGAAAAAGAGCGAAACCCCTAGCGAGATGGATTGGTACAGTGGCAGCATCAGTGGATTCAAGCGTGGCAACAGTAGCGAGGTTGGCCCAGTACCGGGCAGTGCTTCATTCTGTTGTGCATAGGGTCACTATGAGTCAGTATGAACTCGATGGCACCTAACAACAACAACAGCTTACTTAGGCTAAATAAAAAGCATTCATCTCATTGTTCTTGTATTCCCATCTCACTGAATCTTAAAGCACAGAAGAACATTGAAAGTACTCTCAAATCACTTCCATAGTATACAATGCATGGTACTAGCTATATGTCAGATGAGTCCAAAATGACCATATACAGAGAGCTAGCAACATGGCAGAGTAGTGCATCATTTCCATATACAGAGTTCAAGCTGCATGGCAGATGATTCCAAAGTGTTCATATACTGAGAGCTTTTGTTGGACTACATTTGTTGATAAGTTGTGTGTTCCATTGGACATACACAGAGGACTGCAACCCCATAAGACAGAGTACCACCAGGTCCATGGTTCGAGCCTACCAGCCGCTCTGAGGCAAAAAGATGTCTGCTCCCACAAAGATGTACAGTCTCGCCATCCTCACTTCCAAGGAGTATTCCCACTGCACATCTTCCAAAACAGATTTGCTTGTTCTTTTGGCAGCCCATGGTATTTTCAATATTCTTCTCCAGCACCAAAATTCAGAACACCGGTTTCTCTCTGATCTTCCTTATTCATATCCAGGTTTCAGATACATATGAGGCCATTGAAAATACCTTTGCTTGGGTTGGGCACAGATGATATCTTTGCTCTTTAACCCTTTAAAGAGCTCTTTTACAACAGATTTGTCTACTGCAGTATGGCATTTTATTTTTAACTGCTGTTTCCAGCAATATTGATTGCGGAGTGAAATAAAATGAAATATTTGACAACTTAAATCTTTTCTCCATTTATCACGATGTTATTTATTGGTCCAGTTATGAGGATTTTTGTTTTCTTTACATTGAGATGCAACCCATGGTGAAGTCCATTTTCTTTGATCTACATCAGTAAGTACTTCAAGTCCTCTTAGCCCATAGAATCCTTCAGTATTGAAACTGGAGGCTTGAATTTTTATTTCAGTTCTTTCAACTTGAGAATTGCTGAGCATGTTCTTCCCTTCTGGTTTTCTAACTCCAAGTCTTTGCACATTTCATAATAATACTTGACTTTGTCTTCTCCAGCTGCCCTTTGAAATTTCTGTTCAACAATTTTCATCATTTCTTCTAGTTACTTTTTAACTTCTTTATGCTGAGCAGCAAGTTTCAGAGTCTTTTCTAAGACCCATTTTTTGGTCTTTTCTTTTCTTTTTTTCCTGGCTTTTTAATGACCTTTTTTTTCTTCATGAAAAAAATGTTCTTGATGTCATCCCACAACTCTTTGGTCATTAGTGCTGATGCACATAATCTGATCTTGAGATGGTCTCTAAATTCAGATGAGGTATTCTTAAATTCCTGTATGTTCA